AAAATGTGGACATTATCCTGCAGAACAAAATGTGTCTTTGAGCCTATTTTCTGCAATATTCTAAGATCCAACGGAAAAATACCATTGCTTTTTGTCAAGGAAGTCCTTGCGATGCTAACCGTTTTGGCTTACAAAAATACTTCATCACTGCACGAATCTAAAAGCCTTAAAATTCTCAAAAAAAAGAAGGTAGGCAGCCAAAATGTATCACAGTGTATACTAGGGCTGCTCGATTATGGCAAAAATCATAATCTCGATTATTTGGGTCAATAATTGGGTCACGATCATCCATTTATTTGAAAACATCCAGTTATTGAAAAAATACATTTGAAAAGTATGTTTTAACAGTTGATTAACTGAACTTTAAGTATAATTCAACTGAAAAACCAAAAGTTATTTAATTTTAAAATATAATTAAATAAAAAAATATTGTTTTATTTCGATTATGTTGTTTACATAATTGTTGCAAGCCAAAATCATAATCGCGATTAAAATACGATTAATTGAGCAGCCCTTGTGTATACAACATGTGGACCAGGCGAATGCTTGTGACAATACTCCTCCGCTGTCAACATCAATAACTAATCGAAACTGAAAGGCAGCAGCTGGGTTGTGGCTGCCCATTAAGGCGAGCCACCAACCAGCAGGCAGCAAGGACACAACAGCAGAATAAAAATCAGCATGCATCTGTGTGTGTGTGTGTGCGTGCATGTTTGTGTGTGTTAAAGTGTGTCTAAATCCAGCAGCATGCATGACTCCATCCCATTTATTATAGAAGAACACAGTGAGGATCCAAAGGGAAGAGAGAAGATGAGAGAGGGGGAAAGATGGGAGGAGGAGGAGGGGTGTAATCGAGCAGGGAAAGGATGAATCTTTGAGAGCAAAAATGAAAGCAAAATATCAACCTGTGTCTGTAACTGAAGTAAAGGTTAGATGCAGAAGTCTGGCGAGCCCTTGGAACATTATAATTAGCAGCAATTTTGTTTTCACTAATGGAAATGTCATTTCAACACATCAAAAGGTCATTTTGACATGTGGGAATGTTAACGAAAGATGGCTGTAAAACCATTTTGACATGACAAAATGTGTTTGACATTATTAACACTACAAATAGTCATAGTTAGACCTTTTTCATTTGTTAGAAGAATGATTACATATATGTACAATATAATAAATGAGGAAAGAGGGTTGTGACCAGTGAAAGATGAGATTTTACAATTCCGATATCAACAATTACATTTTGTATACGAAGTCAAAATGATCTACTAATATTGGGTATGTACTTATGTACTGTAATTGTCATTAGTATAGATTACATCTTCAGTATTTGCAATTGTATTTTAGATATGTTAAATGCAATTAAAGATCAAAAGGTTATTTTAACATGTCGGTATGTTAATTAAAGATAGCTGGAAAACTATTTTTACAGGTTACAAATATTTTCCCATTTAGAATGACATAACTAATGAAAAGTGATTTACTGGTATCTTTAATTCACTTAAAGATATTAGGATCTTTCTTTTTTATTGGTAAGAATAACAAATGAAGGATATCTACAATTGAATTTCAACATGTTGAAAAAGGGTTGTGACTAGAGGAAATTAGATTTTAGTTTCAGACTAACAATTGCCTTTTGAACATTAAGTTAACCAAGTTAGCTTCATTTCAGATGATGTAAATTTACGTAATTGAAGATATCCACAATTCCTTATTATGATATCTGATATAACAAAATAAATTAAAGATATCTCAAACATAGTTGCTACTATTACAAAATGATTTCTCCACTAGTTACAATTTTGTATAAAAAATGTGAAATACTAGATCTCTGTAATTGTATTTGACTAGTAATATTTTTAATGTGGCGACCTATTTGACCTTTATAATTAGCAGCAATTGTGTTTCCCCTGTGGAAATGACATTTTTAATGTCAACAGGTTACTTTGCCCTGTCAGGATGTTTTTAAATAAAGATACTTTGTTGACATGACAAGGATTGTGTCCTTTCCCATTTCATATAAACATGTGAATTTCTGATACATAATTAGAATATTAATGATAACTACAAGGGCTGTTATAAAATGTAAAGTTATCAAAGGAAATGAAGATATCCAAGTCATAATTTGTATTAGTGAGATATTAAGTTAAAATTGTAATTTAATTATCTGAAATGCACTTCTTGATATCTGTTATTACATTCAATCTAGTACAATTTTGAGGCTAAGATGTCAATACTTTTTTTTTTTTACCAGTCTTAATTGAATGTTATATATCTGCAATTCTATGTATGATAACTGCCAGAAAGAACAATAATAACATGTCACAATTGAAGTAGAGATGGCTTTATTTTCATTTGAATAGTCAATGATAAAAGTTGAATGGTTGTAAATTAAATGATATATTGTATGACTTCGAATAACACTCTAAATCAATGGTTGAAAAGCATTACATAAAAAATTGCAATTACTGCTTTGGAGATTGACAGTTTTCCATCCATCAATAGATTCCAGCATTTGGTTATAATTAATAATGCTGATATCTGTTTACAGTCCACATTTGATTAACTATTACAATAAGCAGTATTTAATTCTAACTCATATTTGTTTGTATTCTGTTTTATCTTATTGTATACATAGTACACTTATTCGAGCATTGTGTCATTTGCACTATGTTGTGTCTTTTTGTGTGTGTTTAAAGTATATTGTATGTTTTAGTGTCAGACGAGGCTGGTGGCTATTGTGCATATGCCAATAAAGCCTATGAATCTTTGACACTAATGATATAAGACTGAGCCTAATAGAGAAAGAGTGCATTATCAACAGTTTAATGAATGGGTGTAGACAGCCAGGCTCTTACCATCAGCTTGTCGAAGAACTCCAGCCGTGCAGCAGACTGCCTCCTGCTCCTGTTGAAGCAGCTGACTTTGAGAGGACTCTTCCTGACCAGCAGAACAAAACTCCCAGCCAGGAAGCACAGCAGGGCGAAGGACACATAGATGAACAACTTGAGGAAGAAGGAGGTGAGAGACAGGCCTCCCCATGCCAGTTGAAACACTACCGCCGCCACCACGCCCAGGCAGAATGCCGGGACGAACCGGAAAGAGGAGCCGAGAGAAGAAGAGGTGAGGGCGGCCGACATGGGCCCCTCTTCCCCTTCTCCTCCTCCGGTGCTGCTACTCCCTCCAGCCAGTGGTGTAATGGTAATTAAGGGGGTGGGCATGCTGCGACCCCACCATCCATATATGTGTCACTGCTAGCGAGGCTGAAAAGTTGGAGTCTATACGCGAAGTCAGAGAGGTAGGTATACAGTCAAGATCTCCCTCGACTACAACACTGTGTCCAAGACGAGGCATCCCTGCTCTGACATCTCCTCTCCGACCCACGCCGTTATGTTTTCCACGCTTCTAGCATCGGCACCAGCACAGGCACGGAGCCCTGTCATCCACAACACGGTGCCCTTGGCAGAAGAAAAGGGCACCGGGCGACGGGAGCCGGAAAAAAGCAGGCGGAGGGAGACCCGGGGTGATAGCAGCAACATCCACCGTCACCTTGGAGACAAATAGGTGCAAGGGTAGCTTAGTGACTGTAGCTAACCAACTGAGCTAGCAGTAAGCTGAACTAAGAAGGCAACATAAGTTACTGTTACATGCTTTAAAACAGAACGATATATAAAATAAAAGTAAGAAGCAGTGAATATTCTAAAACTGCTGTGCGGTTTGACTTAATATCGAACGCTAGCTACCTAGCTCGCTTGCTAAATAACCAATTGAACATCAGCTAATATTAGCGTACTTACCTATCGTCGCAAAAGGTGTGCAATAACAACATTACATTCTGGTTGTCCTCTCTGTAATATGATGAATGGGAAGGTTTGCAATGGCAAAAAGCGTTACAATGACAAAATGTGCCAGGTTCAAAATTCCCAACAGATAAAAACAAGCAACTGTTATTCTCTTCGATCCCAGCTGACTGACAATGTCTCGAATGTGAAAGGGTGTCAGCCAATCAGCGCGTGTGTTAACCAAGGATGGTGCGCCTGTTTAGAAAACAGGACAGCCCGAATTGAAGGGCGGGGATCTAATTAAAGGCTTGCTGTGTAGTACTTGAAAAACAACCCACCGACTGGACAACAAGGTATCATAATGAAGCGTACAACGAGATAAAGGATCAACAAGCCTGGTAACTCGATTTTTTTCTGGCAGGCATTAGATTAAATTGCTGTCTAACATGTATAAAATAGTTTTTTTGTTTCAATGTTTCTTGAATTGTAAAATATTGTTTTTCACAGTAATGAATACGTATTATTCAGACATATTCACCTCAGGTTGTTTCACACATATTGAGCAGTAATTCTCTGGACATCAATAAAACATTACTTTTTTTACCTATCTCTATTTTGTAAAACAATGAAAAAATTAAAGATAAAAATATTGCCAAAGGCCCTTTGAAGTATTACCTAATTTACACAGAATTTAAAGGCCAGAAAAAGGATTCATATGAAATGTTAAAGAAACTGTTTACTGATTAACTGCCAAGAGAATACTACCGCAATACTATGCTATTGTTTTATAATCAAATTAATGAATGGATTAAACAATAAGTCATACAATTATTATTTCAACAAATTGACATGCATGACTTTGCTTTCTACACAATTGAAAGATATCAAAAGACCATTAACATATTCGTAACCCTTTTTTTTTGGACACGAATTGTCATTGTGGCATAAATCAGCCCAATAAATTGTTTATGGTAAAATGAGGCTTTTATTTTCATTAAGAAGATTTTGTTCTCCCCAAATCCTAAATAATTTGAGCATTTTATCCAGTCTCCATTTCAGCTTTCCTAAATGGTAACACATGATATGTAATACATAACGTACACAAAACATTATGATTAATAGTGAGTAATAGTTATTCTTGACATTGTTATATTAACCTTATGTCAATTCTTCAAGTTGCTCATGCAAGCATTTGCGATAATTCACTGGACAAAACAATGTGTTTTTTGGTTTTATTATGTGAAATATGGTAAAAATGCAAATGGCATGGATATAGCTGGATTTATGTTCACAATCAACATGTTTGATAACAAGCACAATGTATACTGCAATTCTAAAAGATAGCTTTACCTGTAACATCGTGAAAAATAACAATACGTTATGTCTACCGTTCTTTGCTTTCATTCATATAATAGCATTCTTTTTATTCAACTGTTTGTGTGAACAACTTATGTATCATAACATTTGGGCCAATTCCCAGTACTGGGCTCTGCTGCTCCTATTATCATATATTGCTGTATAAAGAGAACACTTAAGTTCTTATTACAGCCTTTTTCAATGACATGATAATGGCTGCTTTCACTTGCCTTCAGACAATCATTCTGCCTCAATTTCACTTTTATCCTGCAAAACAGACAGCTGTGTGTGCAAGTTACTTCCCCCTTACAACATTCATGTCTCTAAAACAGGCACACGGTTTCACAAGTCATCTTACAAGTGTGTCGTCATATGAGCAACTATTTTCTATAAAGATGTTAGAATATTGTTAGCACAATGTTTCATTTAAACCATTTCAGACATATGTGTAATTGAATCTGTGGTTCATCTTGGCTACATTTACTATTTTAGTTACAGCTACTCTACTCCATCCAGATAAACCAGGAAGCATATTTTTTAAAGGTGTCAGTGGGATTGTTAAGTGCTTAGTGTGCGAACAAGTCCAAATGGATTTGAGAGGTTTGCTTAGCTCCAAAAATAATCAAGCCATGTAGACATGTATATATCTCCACATGTCTTATTTAGGAAGTTGGTCTGGGATGTACAGCATTGGCGTCGTCAATGGGATCCATTTTGAAGTCCATGGGTCTCAGTTTCATGGAGCTTGTTTTCAGGGAGTACCACCATCCTCTCCAAGTGTACCAAACTACACCGTTGTCTGTTAAAGCACTGTAGTGCCCCTTGGGGTAGTACATTCCATTAAGATGGGCTGAGTGACACCTAGGGATTGATAAATGCAGAGGAAATATATATTTTTTGTTTATTGAAAGACTGTTATGGTGTTTTAACATCAAGCCTAAAGTCATTACGTGCCAATGCAGTCAATGCAATTATATGAATTTGTGTAAATTGAAAAATTTGCATTTTCACACTCTGACACAAACTAAGTACATTTGCAATTCTTTGTGTCGCACACACAGTACGCCTATGACCGTTGAGATCTTTCTGATTTCCCGGACGTTGTTGAATCAGAAATGGAGTAATACATGATGCCTCATATTGTACAGACGGTACAAAAAAGGACCTTCTTTGAAGAAAAGTAACCGAGCAAGTTGAGCTAGATGTTAAGTTTGGAATTTTTTTGTAACTTGATTCCAGCTATCTGTTGTACTTCGAAACAGGTTACCAATAGCATAAGCCCAACATCTAGATTTCAAAGATTAGATGTCTGGCTTGGTAGCAATTTAGATTCAACATCCTATGTTTCCATGGTTGATAATGGGCTGAAATCCACCGCACAGAAATATGTACTATGGCTGTATATATGTATGCTTCTTAATAAAGACATTTAAAACAGATAATGGCGCGAAATCCCATAAAGAAGCATTGGTATTTACACAGAAGTATTTCCTTCTTCCTTTCTGGCGTGTCTTACACGTTAATTCATAAACTAAAATTGAAACCTGTGATAGCAATATGAGGCATACAAACATTTGCTTTGTTTGCTTCATATGTATATCATATAGTTAATCCCGTACTTGTTGAACCACCAGCCTCCATTGTCTTCCTGTGCGCAGTTTCCTTTGTAGTTATCGTTGTCCTGGTCGTGGGTGCTGAATTTGATACCCTGGTGACTGGCCCACTCTGACGCACCTACCTGATAACTTCCAGATAAAGCATCTCCAGCTGTACCTACATAGGACCCAAAGGCAAGTCGATAGTGATCCTGCAGAAAGAGACAGATATGAAGATAGCTGGACCACTCGCGAATAAAAAAAAAAGATTGACATTTTAGGAAAGAACACTTTAGACTCACGTTAGCTTACATCACAAACGCAATATACTTCAATTATGTTTGTAACTTAAGTTCCGAAACAAGCGTACATCCAAACAATTCACTTTGTCCAAAACCTAACAAAGAAATATTGTTTGTTTTAAAACTGCAACTGTTTCACATTGTGCGGGTAGGTGCAGTTGACCCCATCTAAAGCATTATAATGGGACTGATTACAACCTATTATGGCCATTTATAGGCTGATGAAAGTCAAAATGAGTGAGAAACTTAAGGAATTGCAATGTGGGCAATTCCTTTAAGCCTGTACGTAAGGGAGAAACAGGGAAACTGTTGTATTTAGCTACATGAAAACAATGTGATTAGATGCATCAAGTAGAAACTATACATGAGATGTAAACTTTCCTGAGCAGTATCAAATATTTGCAGATTTTTTGCCCCAAAAATATAAATATTCTAACATAATTCTTTCTCTCTAAGTTTAGTGTTCAATCAACACCTTTTCATTGGCCACTTGGAAGTTCTTGTACTCTGCATAGCGCTGGTTACCATCAAAGTCTCCCAGGTTAATCCTCAGTGAATAATTTCCTGTAACAGACAAACGATTATAAAAAAAAAACATATTGCATCTGCACAACACTAATGATTATTTTCATGGTTTTTGCCTTCAATCTTCAAACATCTTAATGATTTTAAGAAGTTTAATTTACCTTGTGTGGTAATGTAATGCAGGTTATCATTTCCAAGCCAAAACTCTGCATCCTTGTCTCCAAAACCATCCTTATACTCTGCCCACGATCTGATAGACAGATATATCGACATATAGATACATAGATAGATATACTTTCCTGTGATTTCATTAATGTAGAATGTAGACTAACAGGTTTCAGACACACCTGTTAAAACTCTCTGTTCCATTGATCCGTCGCTGAATGACGGTCCAACCTCCTCCATCACTCATATCACAGTAGACTCTGAAAGGGAAAGGGCTGCCACGGGGTTTGATGGAGTAGAAACCACTGGATTCGCGGCCAGAACTAAAGAGCTGGGAGCAGTCTGACACGCACACAGAAAAACAGAAATATGCACTCAGTTTTTGTTACATCAAGTTAATTCTGTTTCTGCAATGTGAGATCTGAAACCAGATAATTTAATCCATCAAGTTATGATTTCCAGTCCTGATGCTGTGGCCCTGACCTGTGTACTCGGTGTCCAGGCTTTGGTCCGGTCTGGCTTTGTCCTCTTTGCCAGGCTGGTTCGGCAGTTGCAGTCGGTGTAGGAGGTTTTCCTGTTTCTGAAGTTGGCCCTTCAGAAGCTTCTCTTGTTCCCGCAGACGAGTCACCTCCTCGCGGCAACTGTCTGACGCCTACACACACATTTGTATCGCTTCATTTGTGAAGGTCTTCAATATTCATTGCTTAACTCTTAGATAAAATACTCATAAGTCAAAGAGTGAAACATAACTTTTTCTACTTTCTGCTTGTCTAAATCAAGTAAACATTATTTGATCTGTAAAATACTGTTGTTGTTTTTTTGTTGAAAGTTGGATATCTTCACTTGTTAAAAATCGAATTTGGATATACAGCAAGTCAGCTGTTGTAAGCTATCAATCAGCATATAATAAAAACTGTACTGTACATTTATATATATATATATTACCCTCAGAGCAACAAGCATTTAATGTTAATAACACTAAAGTGAACCCCAGCACTCTTACCCAAACGTATAAGGTCTAACCATAGAACATAAACTTTCAAAAATGTTGGTACATTTTGGGAAATATTATTATTTCTTGAAACGATTGACGTCACACTCAAATCTTGCCAGTAAAAAAAATGTTACAGTGGCAGTTAGTTAGCTTACTGTAGTTAGCCAAACAGCTATCCTTTCATTAATGTAAGTTATTTAAGTCTGTACGAAAACCAAAGGGTTAACATTATGCGTCAGAGTCTTTGTTGGTAGCAGTGACTTTCAGTGATGACAAAATAACTTGTTTATTTGTGAGTTTAAGAGCTGCTCGGCTGGCAGATTTTAGACCTTTTCCCATATGCACTACAAACCTGAAATTATGAAGATATTACACAGAGACGATGTTTGTTAAAACGCAAATGTCCGAATCATTTGGACCGGACATCAAACAGACCTTTTTTTAATACCATCTTTATAGTATAAATACTGTGTGATGTCCGTTTGAGCCCATTAAATGGAGAAAATGTTGGTGATGACATTTCTACCATGGCAGTCACCAAGAAGAAATAGAAGAAAACAAACATCTGAGCGTGAAAAAGAAGGGCCATAAATATGAAGATGGCAACGAATATATCTAACCGGAGAGTTGGCCAGATTCCGTAACTTCGGTATGTAAGACCAGAAGTCGCAGTCTTTAGAGAAATTAAAGTACTAGGGACTAGGGACTAGGATGCTTACGACCAAAGGATGCTTCCTGTACACCAGGGGTGGCCAACCAGTCAGAGGTTAAGAGCCACATTTGTTCTATGTTACTGCAAAGAGCCACATCAAACACACAGTTACTGATACTGCTTGTTTCAGTTTTTTGTTTTCTGGAGACATGATTTCACCACGTCACTTTTGCATTTTTGTGGCATTGGGATATATATTTTTTAAATCCTCTGGAGCAGAGAGAGGAGCTGTGGATTGTTGTTATTGATTAATGCATCAGTGTTTCTTCGGGTCAAAAACACTAAACTCACAACTTAAAATGAAAGCGTTTAGTTTATTTAATAAAAGAGCACATGTTCAATGTGAAAAGTGACAGTAGTTATAGATTATTTGCAATTTGGTGCTATATACTGTATATATTTAAAGGAGGGGGGCATGGGGATCCGTTGGCGGGGCGCAGCGCCCCTCCAAGACAATGGTAGGGGAAACACTGGATAGTGTTCAATCAACGATGGTGATTGGTTCACTGCATCGCAGGTATTATTGTGATTGGCTCTTGGGCCGCATCAAAATTAGACGCGCTGTCATCCTCTCATACTAACACCTGACACCACACATACACACGTAGGGAGAGCCGTAAATAAAATGAATACATTTCTTACAGACAGGCCTCGTGGTGTCCGTAGGCTTGCTCTCACTGTCAGAGATATAGCTAAAATA